GTCTGAAGAGTTTGGACTGCAGCTGTCTGCAGCTGGATAGACAAAGCACTCTCCACCATGATTCAACAACAAACACAAAGGTTTATCTCCAACACTTCAACTCTTCTTCAGACTTCCTCATCAGGAAGTTGCTTTTGTGCAAAAGCTTTTTAGCATCACTGTGTTTTACTGCATTTATTAAATAATCTACTATCTACTGTGACCCAAAAGGCCTCCAGAACCACAGAAGGTGGACAACAAGTCAGAGAGAGAGAGAGAGAGAGAGAGAGAGAGAGAGAGAGAGAGAGAGAGAGAGAGAGAGAGAGAGAGAGAGAGAGAGAGAGAGAGAGAGAGAGAGAAAAACCACAGAGGGCAACGCGCCAGCATGTGAAATTACACCTATTGATCTGTGGAACTGGCAAATGCATTTCCCCCGTGTATGAATGCATTATTGAGAGGATGCTGCTCGCCACAACAGGTGGACGGGAGCCAAGTTCGGACAGAGGCGGCGCATTAGAGGGAGCGGGATTAGGACAAGCACCACCAGCAGCTGTTTTTATCAGATTAGTACCTCTGGCACTATTGATCATTGTGCTGTCATGTCTGGGCACGATGACTCGCGGGGCGAATAATCACTTCATTCAAACCCCATTATTATTTCATGCACATTGTGACAAACATCATTAGAAATTCAACAGATGTCACAGCATCTTTTTTAATTGTAACATAACAGAGTGCATTCTCAGGCCGGCCTTGGTGGCTTAGAGAAGCTTCCAGAAGGCTTTTATATGAAACACACGACCCTCAGACCTGCTTGTGTGTAAATCCCTGAAGGATGAATTCATCATCAGAGTTTAGGCAGAAGATCAAGTCAGTCTGAATGATGGAGATTCTGTTTATCTGCATGGCTTTTCTGCTTTTGTTTTTGGTGCAATCTGAGGGGAACTGGAACGTATAACCAGTAAAGATTTACTACAAAGTCTGTAGTGACAAGATAGTTCCCTAACCAAGCGCTGAATCAGCAACATAAGATGTCAGCCATTTTTAAAAACACAGCAGATAAACATAACTCAAGATTTTAACAAAAAGTTGGACTTTAAATGGTCAAACTGGTATTTTAAGATTTTTATTGTTTGACCCAATCTCATTTTAAAGCCTAATTGATGCGTCTCCGTCTGAAAGACATGCAACGCCAATTATCTGTGGATGCAAGGGCTCTCCAACAGGCATTCAGTGACGGATGAGGCCCAGCCCACTTTTCTAAACATCTATCAAACGAGATGGAGAACAAAAGCTTGTGATTGGCCAGGATGCAGCTTCCTCTGAATTTGTCAACAGCACCGCCATTGCCCCGTCAAAATAAATAGAGACAAAGATACCTAGCGGCTGGCACGGGAGCAACTTGAATACCTTGTGGAAAAACTCTAAAATGTGAATGTTTATTCACTAGTGACTGGAAAAGTATAAAGATACACAGCAAGTGCTGTATTTGTGAGGGTGTAGAGGTGGCGAGAGCATGGAGAGGTGGAGGAGAATGAGGGACAGATTTGTCCATGTTAAAAAGTCTCTGAAATACAAAAAATAAATAAAAATAAATAAATAAACACAATAGCAAATGCACTATCTTAGACTGGATACAGGATAAGATACAGGATTAAGACATCACAATATAACTATAGACACATTATTAGTCTTTGTGAGTGTGCGAGTGTGCGTGTTTGCGTGTGTGTGTGTGTGTGTGTGTGTGTGTGTGTGTGTGTGTGTGTGTGTGTGTGTGTGTGTGTGTGTGTGTGTGTGTGTGTGTGTGTGCGCGTGCCTGCTCTGTCTTCTCGATCCCCAGTGAGCCGTGGAGGATGGCTGCTTATACTGAGCCGGGATCCTCTGGAGGTTTCTTCCTGTTAAAAGGTAGTTTTCCTCTCCACTGTCGCTTTATACTTGCTTAGTATGAGGATTGCTGTAAAGTCACTGACACTAGTCAGTGACTTGATGCAATTTGCTGGGTTCCTTATATAGGAAACATTACTTCTGATTGGCTTAATGAACTGTCCTGAATTGGAATGTTTATTATGTGAAGTGCCTTGAGACGACTCTTGTCGTGATTCGGCGCTATATAAATAAACTTGAATTGAATTGAATTGAATAGGTTACACCAGAAAAACGCTATGCCCTCTGCTGTCCTGGCAAGGAATTAATTGCTTCACTCCCCAGGGGACGGAGGAATCTGAAGGGAGAACGCCTCCATCAATGCGTGTGTCTCTCCCACACGGAGATGATGGAGAAATATAAATTAAGCTTTAGTTTGATGGTTTTCCAACTCAGAATGTAATGATTCTAACTTTTAGCATGTTTGTGCCTGATCTAATTTTTACAATTGCTTGATCATGTATAAAACTTTTGGTCCACTCTTCTTCCACTCTTTGTGCCTTTAAGTGCTCCAAGGCTGGCAGTTTTATCTCATGTCCATCCAGACTGCAGAGTTAACACATCCAACTTGGTTATCAGAGCTTCTCAGCGTATAGCAGCATGAAAAGGAGATGGAGAGACGTGGCCAGCTCCTGCGTGTTTTCTTTAAGTGACAGAGCCCTCAACTGACTTATTCTGGAAGGAACTGAAAAAAGTCAATAATAAAACAACTAAAATCACTTTAAGTGAGAGGGATTTAGTGAAAAAAACTTCATGATTCTTAAAAATGTGTCACACCTCCTAAAAATACATTGTAGAAACATGAAAACTAACATGTGACCATTAGATTCTCCTGCTACTTTTAGTTTATGGTCATTTTTTATACTATATAGACTTTTTCTAGTTGCAGCATTTTGTTTTAGACCTGATGTCTTACTCAGTTTCGGTTTGTCTCATAAAGAGTCCTGTCAGGGAAGGTGTGGTTACAATGGTCACCCCAATCATTCACTGGCAGCAGTTATAACATTTCTTTTACACTTCAGAGAGTATTTGTTAAACCTTTGACCAAATGTACCATAAAGATTTGCTTTTTTAAGGTGGTGTATTTGGGTTTTTCATTTCTTTAAATTGACATTTTTAGAACAAACTGAAAAGTTTCCACCCTTACTGAAAATGTTTGGAATTTTTTCCTTGCATTTGGGCGTTAAGCTGATTTTGGACCAAGGTAAGTCCTAAATTGTTTTTTATTGAAGAAAGTCAACTGATGGTATTTTAAACAATAGCTGCAGTGGCTGTCAAAAAAAAATTCCAGAATTTTTGGTTTTAATTTTGAAATGTAACAAAATGCTAACAAAATATTTGATTTTTATTAAACAGAACCTTCTTGTTTAAAACATTTACTCATGCAAAAATGTTTCTTTAAATCAGCTGCTGTTACTCTTTGTATTTTCACACCTTTAACTTTCAATCTTTTAAAGCACTCCGGATAAGACTAGCTACTTCTCAGTAGCAGCAAGTCTGTGTGGACTGTTACATCATCTCTTTATTTCTATTGTTTTCACATCAAACACAAAAGGTGAACAAAGGCGGTGTCTCAGGCTCCGGTAAGCTACATAACGTCACAGTCGATTGTGGATTAAAAACCAGAGGGAAGCGTCACTAAACATCTCACCACGTTGGTACATCACTTAAATGCACCCGACTGGGATTTAAACCCTGCTCTCCCATTTAAGGCAACACTGAATAAACAAGACAAGTGATGTCACCTAAAGCTGCATTAGGAGTACTTTACTAAAAACAGCTGTTAACACATGAAAATGTGCCACACTTAAGTTTCATTTACTGAAAATTTAAGTGTTCAAAGATTATTTACTTTTTACAAATGCCTTTTTTCCCAAGTAGAATAACTGAATGAAAAAATGTTACATAGAACATTTTATTATATGTAAAATGACGTTTTAGAGAATGAAATCATCCTGGAAACATTTTAACTATTTATAATCAGAAAAGTACAAATCATTCAGCTTTAGTGACCTGGTAAGTGAGAGTGATCATCACAGGACGTGTTTTTGCTCACCCCCTGTCCACTCACATGGATACTGTGGCATGTGTTTTTTTTTTTTTTTTGCAGCAGAGTTTAATCTGTGAGCTGGGACACTGCCATTGCATATTAAAGTGTGGAGTGCAGGTCACCTCTGCAATAAAGTGATGAGAATGAGCACGTGGGCTCTGGGTTGTTGTGAATTTGTTCTGATAATCTTGCGTTCTCGTTTTTATTCCGGTGAATCTGGACTATTTGGAATCTGGTGCAAAAGTTCATTTATGTCAGTAATTCAGCATAGACTAAAAGACCAGCTAAAGGCTCTGGAACCTTTGGCAGGTGTTTTGGAGCCGGTGGGTCAAATGTGGAGACGTAATTTCACCAGTGTGTGTTTACTAATGGGATTTAAACTTTAACTTTATAACATTATTTAGTTTCACCTTATAAACTGAAGTCAATGAACCTTTGCGCTATTGTTTTCCAGAGAGAGAGAGAGAGAGAGAGAGAGAGAGAGAGAGAGAGAGAGAGAGAGAGAGAGAGAGAGAGAGAGAGAGAGAGAGAGAGAGAGAGAGAGAGAGAGAGAGAGAGAGAGAATTAAAGGTGTCATGTTTTTGTTTAGCTTTAGTTTTTCTTGTATTTTCAGTCTTTTTTGTGATTTATTTTTTGTCTCAAACTCAAACATTCTAAATTTAATTAAAGAAAAACATTTTAAAAGCGGGAACCACAGAAAACGAGCGGAGACTGCCGAGGCGCTCCTCTCCGGAGCTGTCTGTGGTGCTGAAAGCTCTCCCGAGTTTATTCGGCCCTGAACCGCGTGCTCCTTCCTCCTGGCCCCGGCGCCACACAAGCAGCCAACAAACCCACGTTTTCTCAGATGAATAATAAATGACAAACAGACAAAGTGATGAAAGATTTAACGCGTGGCACCCTGGAAGCAAAATGGGTTTCATCTTCTAAATGTGACGCGTCTTTTGGAGAGTTTTTTTTGTTTAAAAAGCTCCTAATCCGCCCTCCCCGCCCCTCTCTGTCCCCTCCGGTTGTGATGCAGTGAAGCAGCTCTGCGCAGAACCTGGCACGCTGTGTATAAAAAGCAGCCGCGCTCTAGCGGGTGGATTATAACAACAAGCGAGGCGGAGGGGGGACGCACCCGTGAGAAGTCACTGCGGCGCACCAACCCAGAAAGAAGACCCGCTCAGACGGCAGCAGGATGCAGGCGACCCGGAGCGGATTCTCCTGGAGGCTTGTGCTTTTCTCCTGCGTGCTTCTGGAGACTTTATCCCAGGACTTTGGCGGGCAGACGCAGTTCATTTGCACGTCCGTGCCCAAAGACGTGGACATTTGTGCGGCCACGCTGCAGAACAGCGTTCCGGGATTGGATCTAAAGTCCACGGTCATGCAGCTGCGGGAGACGGTTCTGCAGCAGAAGGAGACGATCATGAACCAGAAGGAGACCATCAGAGAACTGACCTCCAAGTTGGCTCGCTGTGAGAGTCAGAGTGGCACCGAGCCCGGCGGCAGGAGGAAGGAGACCGGGACCAAAAACACCATGGGGGACGTGTCCAGGGGCCCCGCGGACACTTTAACGCAGCTCTCTCAGACTTTACAGTCACTGAAGCAGCGATTAGAAAACCTGGAGGTAGGGTGGAGACACAACCATCAATCTGCACTAAAGCCACGCTCATGCGCAGATCACACGTTTCAAACAGCAATGAAAGTTGAACTAAATGTGTTTTTATCTTTGGCAGCAATTCAGCAGAAGTAATAACTCGGTGCAAGCGAACAGCCTGAAGGACATGCTACAAAGTAAAATTGACGACTTGGAGAAGCAGGTCTTGTCCCGAGTGAACAGCATCGAGGAGGGGAAGCCTGGACTCCGGAACGAGACGGAGCAGCGCGGCAGAGTCGAGTCCACCCTCACCTCCTTACATCAAAGGATCGCAGATCTGGAGAAAGGTAGGTGCTGTGGGAGTTGGTCCTGAAAGCATAAGAGAAGAGGCAAAAATGTTTTAATCTCATATAAGATCTAAATAAATCCTTCAAGTGATTTATTATTATTCTCAGAGCTAAATCTGGTGCATTCTGCAGGATTATAATTCAGGTATTGCAGATCAAACACCAAACACTTAATTTTGTTTCCTCAAGTTGTTCTCTGAACCCCTGAAACGCTGCTGCTTTGATCAAAACTAGCAGCAACGACTCTCATGCATCACTCCTGTGATGGATTTATCCTGCAAGATTAAAGCAAATCTGGACCCGCACCATTGTGGATTTGTTGTGTAACATGTAATTCCAGTTTAAATCCTCAGAGATGGCTGCTGAATGTCAGTGTTTAACAAAATAGGGAGAAAAAACATAAATAGTTTATTTCCCAACAGGTCAAAGAGAGAACAGACCCTTGGATAAATTCCAGCTCACCTTTCCTTTGAGAACCAACTACATGTATGCTAAAGTGAAGAAGAGCTTGCCTGAAATGTACGCTCTGACCGTGTGCATGTGGCTGAAGTCCAACGCCTCACCTGGAGTAGGAACACCTTTCTCCTACGCAGTTCCAGGTCAGGCCAATGAGCTTGTCCTCATAGAGTGGGGCAACAACCCAATGGAGATCCTGATTAATGACAAGGTAAGGCTTAAATCTGTTTGCTTTTTGAGTTTAGAGCTAAAAACATACTCCTTGTGTGTGATACCATGTGCTTTTGGACTCATTTCAGGTTGCAAAGCTCCCGTTTCTTATCAACGATGGAAAGTGGCATCATATCTGTGTGACCTGGACGACCCGTGACGGTGTCTGGGAAGCTTTCCAGGATGGGGTGAAAAGAGGAAGTGGAGAAAATCTGGCTCCCTATCATCCCATCAAGCCACAAGGCCTGCTCATCCTCGGCCAAGAGCAGGTACAAAGGAGTCACTGTGTGGAATGAATGGTTTCCCGCTCTTTTTCTCAGCTCCTTTATCATAAAAAGGTTGATTAAAATAGAAATGATCTACTTTTTCTCACACAAAAATAATTCAGGCTAAAGACACATATTTAGAAAAGTGATAAGAAACAGGCCTACACTTTACTGAGAGCTTCCTGAAATCAGCCCTCTTTGTGGGACCTGAAAAGCCTCAGTTTGGAGAAATGGCTAGCAACAACCAAGCCTTAAGTTTATTATTTATGGATTCTATAGACCTTTTTAACTCCATGATTTTAAAAACACTTGGTAATTTTAATGGGAATAATTTTGTTACTACTGGTGATTTATGCTTTTAAAAGCCTCCAAATTCCATGTAAATAAACACAGAATGCAGAGCTGAAGTGAAAATACCTCCACTGCAGATTTCTTAATCTATATACATTTCCAGATTTTAGTGCGCCAGAATAAATGTCTGACTTCGTGGAGTAATGGAAAACAAATATTTACATTTGCTCAAAGCTTGTCAGAATTGGAATGGTGAATCAGAACAATGTGCACCTTGTCAGAACTGGAATGCTTTATTAGAGGAAAGTGCAACTTGTTTCAATTAGAATGGTTTATAAGAGGAAAGCATGTTAGAATTCAAGTGCTTTATCAGAGGAATGTGCAATTTCTCAGAAATGGAATGCTGCGTCAGAAGCAAGTGCACCTTGGCAGAATTGGAATGGTGTCACAGGGGAAAGTGCAAGTTGTCATAATTGGAATGCTGCATCAGAAGCAAATGCAACTAGTCAGAATTGGAATTGTCACGTTTTGGAGGGATGTTAGAACCCAAAATGCAGAACCCAGGATGACACGAGGCAGGAGTGGATATGAAGAAAAAATCCTTTTATTGTAGGATAAACAAAATTAAATCCAAAAAAAGGCAGGGAGCCAAAATCCAAAAATCCAGAACAGGAGATCCAAAGCCCACTTAGAGCACACACTGGGGACGGGACAGGAAGCTCACACAGAGCACCAAAACAACACTGAACAAACAACAATGGACCAACAAGACACTGAGACAAGACAGGGCTTAAATAAACTGGGGCATGATGGGAGGCAGATGAGCTGCAGGTGTGTGGTGAGAGGACCAGGTGAAAGCAATACTTGATCAGGGAGGGAACTCGCATGACCTAAGAAAAAACCTAAAAATAAGAAAAGCAACCACATAACTAATATTCTAAAGGGAAGGAGAACTACAAAGACTGGTGGGACAAAACATATAAAAGAGACTAATAAAATGAAAAGCTGAAACTATAAACACTGCAGAGGGGTGACTGGAAAAGACTAAAGGAACACAGGACCTGAGAGATATATTTGGAAGGCTGAAGACCAGGGGACAAATGAGGAACACAAAGAGACACATAAATGAGACACAGAAAAAGGACACATGAGGGCCCTATGAAATACAAAAGGAGAACCTGGAGTGGGAACTGGAGGGCTGGGGAACAAAGGGACACAGAACATGACAGGAATAGTGTCTCAGAGGAAAGTTCAACTTGTCAGAAGTGGATTGCTGAATCAGAAGCAATTTCAATTTGTCAGAATTAGAATGGTGTATCAGAGGAAAGTGCATCTTGGTCAGAATTGGAATGGCACTATACCATACCATGTTCATTTATATAGCACATTTAAAAACAGCATGACAGCTGACCAAAGTGCTGTACAGTAAAAAGGACAAACCCCACGATAAAAACAGATAAAAGTCATATAGGAGGTAAGAGGTAAAATCTTTTTTACCTCTTGTAAAATTGTAAAATAAACATACAACAATAAAATACAGAGCCACAATAAAACGTAAAAACACTAAAAGCTAGATCATTGAATAAAAGCTAAATGATAGAAGAAGGCCTTCAGTACCGACTTAAATCGATCCAGTTCTGGGGCCTGTCGAACACTTAGCTGGAGAGCATTCCAGAGTTTAGGAGCAGTGAACGCAAAGGCCCGCTCTCCACGAGATTTATACCTCATTTTCGGGGCGCACAAAAGCAAATGATCTGCAGATCTCAGGTTTCTGGTTGGAGCATAAGGCTTTATCAGTTCTAAAAGATAAGCCGGGGCAAGCGTGCAAGGACGGGTGAAATGTGACAGCGTCTCGAGGTGTTTGTCAGGAACCTAGCCGCCACATTTTGCACTCTGTAGATGCTCGATTGCTGAGACGCTGACACCAACAAGTAGTGAGTTGGCATAGTCTAAACGTGTGGTTACAAAGGCGTGAACAACAGACTCCAGCTGAGGTCATTTGACTATTGACTTTAAGCGCGAGATGCGACATAGCTGAAAAAAGCAGAACCGGACTGCAGAGTTAATTTCTGAACTCATTAACATATCAGAATCAAGTTTTACTCCCAGACTGGATACACAGGATTTAAGATTTAAAAACGGTAGAAGGTAGTCACCAGGTGTATGCTTTGGATTTATTGGATTAAAAAGAATGGCGTCGGTCTTGTTTTCGTTAAGGCAAAGGAAGTTCTCCGACAGCCAGCCTTTAACTGCAGTAATACAGTCGACAAGGAGGCGTGTTGAGTCAGGTTTACTTAAAGCCAGATAAATCTGGCAATCATCCACGTAAAGGTGATAACTTATTCCAAGGTTTGTCAGAATCATCCCCAATGGCAATAAGTTAATCGAGAATAGGAGTGGCCCTAGAATCGAACCCTGAGGCACACCCCAGCGAAGTGGAGTAGATGGAGAGGAAAAGCTGTCAACGTGAACACTAAATTGTCTGACAAATATGATCTGAACCAATGAAGTGGGATCTTTGTTACCCCATCCTCATCTCCGACCTCCTAAGTAGGATGTCATGGTCCACTATGTCGAAGGCAGCAGAGAGGTCCAGGAGTGACAGAAGGACATGGGAACCAGAATCAGTTGCCACCAGGATGTCATTTAATTCACGAAGATGTGCAGTTTCTGTGCTGTGGTGAGGTCTAAAGCCAGACTGAAAGTGATCGAGGAGGCTATGATCTCCTAAGTAACTGGAAACTTGAGTGTGAACTACTTTCTCAATAATCTTGGATCTTGTATCAGAGGAAAGTGCAACTCGTCAGAATTGGAATTGTGTAATAGAAGAAATAGCTGTCTGACTTTGGATCATAGTATGATCATGTTCATATTCTGTATGACAAATCTATTCTACATGGTTAAGATGCTGAGCCACATTTAGCACAACAGTAAAATAACAATATTCCACTTTTAATACCAAAACATTTTAAAATGGCTCAACTATCCTTCTGTTTCTATCCTGAACCCAAACTGACAGAAGTTGTAGATAATTAACAAGATTCTAGGTTTGTTCTTGATGCAGCCACAAAATCCTCATTCAAACCCATTTTCTTCCACCACAGGACACGTACGGAGGAGGATTTGATGCCACACAAGCTTTTGTTGGAGACTTGGCGAACTTCCACATTTGGGATAGGAAGCTGTCTGAGGGAGAGATTTACAATCTGGCCACCTGCAGCAGCAAAGCTCAAGTAGGCAATGTTTTTGCGTGGATGGAGACAAGTCTTGACATTTACGGAGGCGCCTCGAAGTGGACATTTGAAGCCTGCCGTCAGCTGAACTGAACCAAACTGAAGAGAAGCTCCATGCAGTTGCAAATGCCACTGAATCAAACTGATTTCAGAAAGATCACGAGGAGGCTTTTTCAGTGAATAGCTCCTGAATTTTTTTGGCATAGGTGTTTGAGAGAAAAAAAGAAAATATTTTGGACGAATTCATAGATTTTTACCAGATTCATGCGTGGGAGAGATCAGTGAAAAGGTGCACTTTGGCTTCCTGTTGTGTACATCAGGTGCACACGCAGCCGGCCGCTTCTGAGGGAGGAGGTCGCTCGCTTGAGAGCAGAATAACTGGCCAGCATCAGACGTACCGTAGGAGGTCATGTAGTTTTTAGAAAACAGATGTCACATGATTTAGCGGAGTGAAAGGCTTCTCCAGCTGTGTTTTCTGTCTCGACTGCCAGGGACTTCCACTGTGAAAACAGGCCAGGTGGTTTCAAAAGTTTTCCTAAGGAGGTTATAAAATAGACCCACATCCTTTCTCTGCCACTCTTCTTTCTCTTCTACCACCTGCTTTACGTGATTTTGTGTGAAGAATGACGTTCCCTTATTGCCAACGTTTGAGCCTGAGTGCCTTGGGCTGCTGCAAACTATCTCAGCACATCCATCTTCCTCTGCAGAGCGTTTCGTGCATTCGTGTTTACTTTCCTGGGAAACTGATATCCAAAAGAGGTTTTTCAGTGTGACACTTAAAATGGCAGTGGATTATTATTGTTATGATTATTATTATTATTGTAAAATGCAGTTTGTTGATGACAATGGCGCCTTTTTTTGTTTTGTTTTTTTTACTGTTGCTTCTACTCCAGTGGGAATGTTCTTTGTACAGTAACGAGCATGTCTTGACTTCTGTAATGCTGCGTCATCATCTCTGATCTTTGCTTTTACTCTCCTAACTATAGGTTCAGGTTTTATACTGTATCGGTATATGCTTAAAGCATGGCAACAGAGACAGATGGGAAAAAATTCTAGTTTTTGTAATAAATTGTTATACTTGACTCAGAGGCAAGTGCAAACATTTATTTTTATAGGACAAACTGGGTGGCAAACTGTGATACGTGAAAGTTTCGTTTGTGTCACAGTAAATGCAAAATGATTCAAAGATTAAAGCTGTTAATAATGTTATGAAGTTATTATCATGAAGGGTGCCAACGCCTATGACTTCAAGCATCTGTTGTAATATTTTGTTGGGATTTTTTTCTTGATTTTTGTCCATTTTTCCAGTTCTGCGGATTTGGAAGAGGCAAACGATGCATTCAAACATTTGGTTCAATCAGGAATAGTGGCAGTGGTACTTTAAATTATGTAAACCTAATTATCAATCAATAAATGACACATTTCCCTGTAAACAACAATGGGAAATTAGTGAAAGCCCACACACTATGGAGCCATAAAGCTCAGATCAACTCAACGGATCACAAAACGTTTGCCGTTTTTTGACCACACTGGCATTGTCTTGTCTTTTAGAATTTCACACCATCAGTTAAAGGTGGAATATTAATCATTTGAATAAAAAGCTATATGTTTAAACACTAACACCTCAACGAGGTATTCAGAATGAATGTACAGTTTCTCATTTAAAAACGTTATTTAAAAAAAATAAATCTAATTTTTATTTTTTCGGCCTGACACTGTTTATGCTTACATCTACCAGCCACTAGAGGGCACTGTTGCACAAAATGGTTGGCTCGGCAAAGTGAGGCTGGGCCTGTTTAAAATGGCGGACTGTATGAGTCAAGCAGCTGATTTTGATTCCAGAAGATGTTCTAACAGTAAATACTGTTGCAAAATAAACGTATTAGTAGAAATTAGTTCTCACCCTGTTCGCTTTGTCACTGAACATGGTGCTGGCTGGTCACTGAATGTGTCAGCAGTGAACCGACCCCTCCATGGCTGGAAAATGTTTTCTGTTGTTGCAGCTACCACCTCTAACCAGTAGAGGTCGCCAGAGTGTCCGTGTTCCATGTTCAACCTTTAAACATTTGTAGATTATTTTCACAAAATAGCTGATGGAGCACCAGGATTAGTACCTTCATCAGAAAACTTCCACATCCAGTCACATTCATGTCTACTGCCCTCTGGTGGAGGATCTGGAGGTGGACTAAGCAGTCTTGGCTTGCTTTTAGCACGCCCTAGTGTTTGTTTGTGGAAGTGAAAGCAAAACTTATCTCCTCGCTGTGCGTTTGTCTTTCTAACACCTTAATCTAACGGATGAAATGTCTCCCCATCCTTCCTTAGTATCTACATGAGTGATTCATCACTAAATTAAACAAACCAGCTGTGTTCATAATCTAAAACTTGCAGGAAATGTATCGGAAGCTAACTATACAAATAAGTATATTTTTCCTTCCTACCGAGTTTCTCGCAGTTGTAGGACTTATGATTTTATCTCAGATCCCTCCAGAATGCAGAGTACACACATCCGGTCTCCTAAACTCCCCTGAGCCTCACCCTCCACGGGTGGTCTCATCCTTCCAAGCTCGGGTCCTCTACCGGAGGCCTGGGAGCTTGAGGGTTCTGTGCAGTATTTATGCAGTTCCTAGCACTGCACTTGTCTGGACTGAGATGTCTGATGTTTTTCCTGGGATCTGCTTTAGCCACTCCTCCAGTTTGGGGGTTACGGCTCTGAGTGCCCCGATGACCACGGGCACCACCGCTGTCTTCACTCTCCAGGCTTTCTCAAGTTCTTCTTTGAGGCCCTGGTTCTCTGTAGTTTGTCACATTCCTTTATCCTGACGTTGCCTTTACTTGGTATTGCCACATCAACCACAACGATTGTCCTCTGTTGTTTGTCCACCACCACAATGTCCAGTTGGTCCACCATCACCATTTTGTTGGTCTGGATCTGAAAGTCCCACAGGAGTTTGGCTCGCTCGTTCTCTACCACCTTAGGTATTGTTTCCCACTTTGACCTGGAGGCTTCTAGGCCATATGGATATTTGGCAACGATTTTATGTTTTCACGTTGAGTTTAGGGCTGTCACAAACGACTATTTTATTAGTCGACTAATCGCCAGTTTTGTTGACTAATTGTCAACTAATCGTGTGTCATGTGTTCAATCACACACACACGCGCACACGCACACACACACACACACACACGCACACACGCACACACGCACACACACACACACACACACACACACACACACACACACACACACACACACACACACACACACACACACACACACACACACACACACACACACACCTTTTCGAAGGTTGCCCAGTATTTCATTTCCACCTTAAGCCTGGTTTATGCTTCTCCGTCAGCTCCGCAAGGGACAGACACGCACGGATTGACAGAAGCATTTTGCTCTCATACATCTCCGTCTCCTGGAGAGTGTTGCAAAGCAATTGCCCGGCAGGACCACAGAGGGCGTAGCGCTGTTCTGTGGTATCCTGTCATGTATCGGTCCAAGATCGTGTGTTTATATTGTGTTTTTTGTGTATATAAGAGACTTTTAACACGGACATATTTGTCTCTCATTCTCCTACCGCTTCATGCGCTCCCCACCTCTAAACCCACGTTTCCTGTCATTGCCATCCACAAAAAAAAACACTTGCTGCGCATCTTTTCACTCCTCCAGTCACGGGAGGATGAAACGTTCATAATTTTAGAGTTTTTTCGCGAGGTATTCTTCAAGCTTCTCCGTGTCTGCCGCTAGTTATCCTCGGCTCTCTTTGCAATGGCGATGCTGTAAACAACAGCGGCGTCCTGACCAATCACAAGCTTGCGTAATCCGTCTCGTTCGACGGATGTTTAAAAAAGTGGGCTCGACTCCGTACGTACTTGCGTGCCTGCCGGAGCCCTACGCAAGGACAGATAATGGCGTTGCGTGTCTCCGCACTGACGCAGACGGAGAAGCATAAATCAGGCATAAGTGGTGAAATGTGATAGGCCTGGTAAATAGTTGTCATGGTATTTTGGGTTGAACTTCTTGATCATATCTTCAAAACCTTGATCGTTGACCATGGACAAGGCCCTCGTGTCAGGACGTCGGTCAGGACGCTGGCTTGTTGCGGTGTGCGTGTGTTTGGCCTTGTAAGAAACTCGTCCATTGTAGAACAATAGCGCTCTCTTTTAGCTCTGTAACGTAGCAGGATAAAATAAATCCTTAGCGTTTGTAACATTAGAACAAATACGTGACATGCATACGTGTTCTAAACATGTAATCGCCATCACTACAGTTGTTGCTACACCTATTACGCTAACAGCTAACAAGATGCAAACTTACAAAGACGACTCTTCGTTCTCCGCCGTCACATGCTTCCTTTGACGATGTGCTTCCGTGAAACGAAAGTTTCACCTTACAGAATTTCAACTCTACTTGCTTCTCATTTGTTTTAATAAAATGCTCTCAAATTGTTGAGCTCTGTTGCCGACTCGCCATGATGCGTTATTTCTCTGGTGATTTTGATGCAAATGTTGAGCTGGAGTGTCACTACTGCACATGTGACTCGACTTATGTAAGCTGACATGGATGGCCACTAGTACGCATGTGCGTTGAGTAGAGAGGCAGGAAGCAAACGCCGAACGTGCCGCAGCAGGCAAGATTTTAAAAATGTAATGCTAAAAATGAATCATCAATGTTTTTTTGTCAACGTCGTCGTGACGCGTGGACTATCGTGACAGCCCTAGTTGAGCTATCTCAAAGAAATAGTTTGACTGAGGCCTAACTATTAGTTTGCTTTTATGTTTGCCTTTCTATGAGGTTGCTGCCAGTGAGTGAGAGTAATATACATATATATATATATGTGTGTGTGTGTATATATGTGTGTAGTTACCATGGTGAACCTCGTAGATTACAGAGTTTCAGACAGCAGCTGCATTGGCACTTTTAAATCATTTCCCCAGAAATGTTCTAGTTTCTAGGTTACAATAATCCAAACAGCTAAGACCAACTCTCACAGTACTGAGAGAAAACTTGCTGAGTTCACCAAACAACAGGGGTTGGGGTCATCATAAATCATTTAACAGGCAATTAATTAGAGCAGGGAAGACAGAAATGGACCATCACAGACCAAACTAATACTATTCTATAAAGGTGTTCCAGTCAGTTTCTTAAGTTTTGGTGTAAAACAAACAAGTAATAGAGTTTAAGAATCTCAGGGTCTTGTTCACGAGTCAGGGAAAGATGGAGCTGGAGGCTAAAGAGAGAGCTGAGACAGAAGGCAAAGCTCTCAATTTACTGGTCGTTCTACGTTCCTACCCTCATCTATGGTCACGAGCTGTAGAAACAACGAGATTGTTAAGCTTCACACTAGTTTATATAAAATACAATGAACAAAGAACTTTCTAAACTAAATCTTCCTACACTAAAAGTGTAAATGAATAAATTAAAACATGACTGAATCACTAAAATTGAATCAATAAATCAAGGTTTCAATCATTTTAAAAAGGGAAATTAAAGCATCAAGTGTAACAATGGCAACAACAAATCAAATGTCTACATGCTTGAAAACATCTGTATTTAATCAAACTCATGAGCAACATGACTTTAGTGGTCAACTTAAACAACTTCACATCATAAACCAAATGATATTCACCAACCATTGGCGTCTTCAGAGTCAACTCATGAGTAGAGCCTGCTTGCTTGTTGTACCTTGTTTGACTGAGAACAGAACTCCCACCATCTTTTCCCAGGTGTTTTTCATCACCAGTCGGTGGCCATTTTGCTGGTGCGTTCTGGGGGATGTAGTTCTCAGTGGCGGTTGAGCACTGTCACCTCCAATTGTTCAGTTTTAACTCAACACCTCCCACTTGAGCTCATGGATTCTCAAACCCAATGAGGTCACACAAGTATTTCGCTCTTTCTGTTCTTCAATGGGAACTAAAATGACAAGGCGCCTGACATCTCTATGAAGGATTGTGGCTGGAATTTTGTTGTTATGTTTATGTTTATTGGATTCCAAAGCCGGCTCCTTGCCAGCTATCTTTCTGATAGAAACAGGACAAGATCATGGATATAAGCGGCCAAAATGAGTTTTCTCTGCAGGGTAGCTGGGTTCTCCCTTAAGCCTGATTTATACTTCTTCGTGAGCTCCGCCACAGAGAGATGCGCAAGGAGTGTCAGAAAGATTTTCACATTCGAACTTCTGTTGAGGCAGCGGAGCGTTGCAAAGCCATTCCCCACCAGGACAACAGAGGGCGTAGCCCTGTTCTGTGGTATCCTGCCACCATAACACTCATGTATCCGGTCCCTGACAGTGTATTTACTAATGTGTTTATATATTTCAGAGACTTTATAACACGGACAAATGTGTCCTTCATTCTCCTCAACCTCATCATGCGGTTGCCACCTCTAAACCCTCTTACTGTCGTTTCCGTCCATGTTTGCTCCGTATTTTGTACTCACTCACTCATGAGTGAATAAATGTTAATATTTTGGGGTTTTTTTCCACGATGCATTCTTCAATCTTTTGTGGGTCTGCTGCTAAATATCTGTTTACTTTTTAACGGAGCTACAGCGGTGCTGGTGACCTGACCAATCACATGCTTGCGTTCTCCGTCACTTTCGACGGATGTTTAAAATTTTGGGGGTATGGGGTACGGGATGTTAGGTCCCTGTATGACTGCTGTCACAGCTTGGTTCGCATTGCCAGTTAATCCGCTTGTATT